GTCCGGCTCCCTGCTGCTCGGCCCCGCCGCCGCGCCGCTCGCCGCGCCCGCCAACTGCGCGGCCCAGTTCCAGAACGCCGTCGAGCGCACCCAGTGGCGCGGCGTGGCGGTGACGGCGACCGGCGAGCATGTGGCGGCGGGGGTGGCGTCCAAGGAGGGCCATCACAAGATATTCCTTTGGAACCGCACCAACGGCAAGCTGGAGCGAATCCTGGAAGGTGGGGCCGCCGGGGTTGGGGGCCTCGGGAGCGCCGCCTGCGCGGAGGGCGCGGCGTAGCGCCGCGGCGAGCGCGCGGCCCCGCGTGCGGGGGCGCCCCGCTGCGAGCGGGGTCGGCCGGGTGGGGAGTGGCCGTGTCCCGCCGTGGACGGCCCTTCCAAGGGCGCCCTGATTGAGTAGGAAACAGGCAGAGGCTTGCCGCTGGGTGCTGGATGCCCGGACCAGCCTCAAAATCTGTTTTGGCAGCCTTCGAATACCGAGCGGCTGCATCTGTATGCCAAGTGGTCCCCCTCTGAGCGTCAGGGCCGCTCGATCTGACACATATTTTTCCAGGTCTCGGCTCACCCCTGCTGCCTCACTCGCCTCAAATTCTCATCCCCAGGCCCGCGGGGCGAGCCGGTGCTGGCCCTGGCATGGCACCCGGCCAGCAGCGTGTTCCTGGCCCTCGCGGGCGGCGGGCGCATCTACGTATGGACGCGCGTGTTTGAGGAGAATTGGAGCGCGTTCGCGCCAGACTTCAAGGTGGGCGCCGCGGAGGCGGGTGCTGAGGTGGTGCCTGCGCCGCGCCGGGGCTTGCCCAAGCGGCGTGGCAGGCGGCCTGTCATGGGCGGCACGTCGGGGTGATGTAATGTGACGCAATCTCTAACCTGATCCCTCTGGCTGCGACTGCGGCGCCCGCCCGCGGCCGGCCCCGCGAGAAGCACGACCGCCGCCAACCGCCACCAACCGCCACCAACCGCCGCCAACCGCCGCCCTGCAGGAGCTGCTAGAGAACGTGGAGTACGAGGAGGAGGAGGACGAGTTCGACGTCAACCCCCGCCAGGGCGACAAGGCGGGCGCCGGCGGCGGCGGCGTTGCGGTGGACGTGCTGGCGGCGGCGCGCGCGGCGGGCGACGAGGAGGCGGACGTGGACGTGGCAGGGCGAGAGGCGGCGCCGCTGTTCAGCAGCGACGAGGAGGACGAGGTGCGCGCTGTGGGGTGGCGCGTGCGCGGATACGTGCGCTGTCAAGCGCCTGCGTTGGAGGCCGGTCGTTGCCTTCAAAGGGAGGGCCCGATGGGTGCAGAAAGGACGGCGCCGCACCTTCGCCTCGCGCGTTGCTGTGTGCGTCGCCGCTCGTCTGCACCACCCAGCGCACGCGGCGTGCCGCGCCTCCCGGCGAACTCCGTTGACCCAATGCCTCCACAACTGCCGCCTGCTGCCGCCGCTTTTCCTCCTGTTTAAAACCCACCTCCACGCAAAAAATCATGTCCGACACCTCAACACGCCAAAATAGTATGCATCCCTGCTTCCCTGGAGTTGTCAACACCCCGAAAACTCTCAACTCTCTCAAATCCCTACAGGTTGAGGCCCTGGCGGACCCCGCGGCCGCAGTGCGCGCGCTCGCCGGCGTCGACGGCGGCGCCAGC